GTCCCGGCCTGCGTGAGGCGGCGGCCGGCGTGGCGCACCGACAGGTAGACCAGGAGCTTGGAGGGCAGCTCCACCGCCCCGAACAGCAGCTGCGTCTGGTACACGTTCAGCCCCAGCCCCGACACGTCCAGGCTCAGGCCGTAGTAGGAGAAGTTCACGCCAAACCTACAAGGAGCCCGATGCGGCTCAGCGGGCCCTGCTCCCCATCTGTCCCTTCTCCGGAGGACGTGGCCTTCCAGAGGGGCCCCTCTCCACTCGAGCCCACTGCCTACCGCCTTCCCGACAGCCATCACCCCCTGCTTGTAGCTCGGGACAGTGGCCAAAGGCGCCTCTATCCGAACACAGCAGCCGCGTGGCGGGAACAAACAGGGTCCGCTTTATGGAAGGGACACAGGCTCGGAGTGGCTAAGTGGCCTGTCCATGGTCACGCAGTGAGGAGGTGGCAAAGCCTGAATCTGAGCCCGCTCCTCTCTGCTCCCTCTCCCAGCCAGGTGTCCCTCGGAGGCCGACTCCCTTGCCCTGCACGCTGCATTTCACTGTCCCTCATCCTGCTCACACTTACCCTGGAGTGTGACCCCCTTCCCACCAGGCCCAAGGCAGCCCCCCTTTACCAGACCACCATGCAGCAGAGGGAGATGTGTCGCAGCCGGGGTGTGCGGAACAGGTCTAGGTAGGAGGGTCTGCCGACTGTGCGTTCCCCAGCAGCTACCTTGCTCAGGGCCTAGTGGGGGGGGTAGGGGTTGACCTCAGAGATGGCTACGGCTCAGCGGGGCACACGCTCGCACGCTCGCTTGCTCGCTCTGTGTGTCTCCATCCTCCCTTCTGCAGTGGCAGAGGTGGAGATGCCAATGGGAGCTGAGAAGAGGGGTCCCTGCATGAAAGGTGTGGCCAAGCCAAGAAGGGTACCCTGAAGAGATGGGGACTTTCCACTGGGGACCCCGGCTTTTCCTGTGCTTGACGCAGCCCCCTCTGCCCCCTGAATACACTCATGCACTACCCTCACCTCCTGGCTCAGGCCATCCTCGCCCACAGGCCGCCCATTGAGCCTGGCACAGCGGAGCAGGTACCTGTGGGCCTCCTCCACGCGGCCCTGAGTCAGAAGCCAGCGGGCAGACTCAGGCACCCACCTGGGGAGAAACAGGAGGCCTTCAGCCAGCTAGTCTGCACCTTAAGTCACATCTCCCCCCGGGGACACAGAGCCTGCTGTCAACCTCCAGGCTCTTGCTCACAGTTCTCTCATCCCAGAGTGTCATCTCCACACCTAAGGAGCATTTTCTTTTTCTTTTTCTTTTTCTTTTTTTGGTAGAGGTTTTTGCCTTAGGGCACATGCACTCTCCAGAGAGTGAGAGAGAGAGGCAGAGACAGTAAGAAGAGAAAAAAGAAATCATTCCCCCCGGGGAGATGACCATGCTGCAATCCCTTCTCCATTCTCCCAGGATCTTGGACACACATGCACACATGCCTGGTGTGAGTTTCAACCCACTGGGTTTGGGACTTGAACCACAGTTGGCCATGTGGGAATCCAGTGATGTAACCACTACACCATCTGCTAGCCCTCTTTTTTTTTTTTTTAATTTAATGATAGAGCATATACAAGTGCTCACGAGAGACAGCGAGAGAGAGAGAGAGAGACCAAACATGTACACCCAACATGTTCTCAGGACTGAGCCAGGGACTCGAACTGTGCTCAGCATGCAGCTTCTAGCTTTGCTGTCCCATATGCTACTGACTGTGCACAGAGGCTGGGACTCTTATTCCTCTTTTAGGGCCAATTAAAAAGACACCTCTCGCCACACTTCCTTGCCCTGGCCTGGGTGTCACTCAGTCTCTTCCTTATTTAACTCGGTGGGCCTCAAGCCCAGGTCCTCAGCTCCTGATGCCGGCCACTCACTTCTCCCACAGGTGGCAGGAGGGGGACGGCAGACACACTGACATACCCAGAGGGGTCACCCCAGAGTTTATCTTTGGGATGCAATAAAGTGCCCACCCTAACCAGTCTCCCACCCTCCTGCCCGAGCTCCCCCGCCCCTTGCTGGCCCTGTCCTCCAATTTGTGCTTGGCTCTGCCTTTATCTCTGTCTCCCCATCTCTGTCTCTCACGGACTGCTGTTTACTCTGAGTCTACTTTCAACTCTCCTTCTCGCTCCCCCTTCAGTCCTGGCCTCGCTCACTCGCGACGTCCCACTGGTTCTCTCCTCTCCATTTCCGTCTCTAGCCTGTCCTCTGTTTGTCAGACAAGCGCGGGCCCGTGCTGCCTCTCCGCTAGCCTCTGTCTCAGTGTCTTTTCCCTCCGTGTCTCTGCCTCTGGATCACTAGCCATTTCTCTCTCCTGTCCTCTTTCAAGAATCTCAGCTTCTGAAGACTTCTCTTTGGTTTCCTGTGTTTCCTGCTTCCCAGCTGCCCACAGTTCTCACCAGAGGCTGAGGATGCCTGGGGCACAAGGCAGGGTGACAGCCAGCAGGAGCCATCGCCAGTCCCGTATCAGGTACCCGACCAGAGCCAGCAGCATCACGCCCCCGGTCCAGAAGGTGCTGCTCAAGACGCCCGCCACTGTGCGGTGCTCCACGTCCAGCCACTCCAGCTCTGGGCCCAGGGCCGGGGCGGAGAAGGGAAGACAGTTAGTGAGGGCCAGATGGCTGCCTCCCTCCAGCCTGTCCCTTGCCTGCCTCACCAAGTGGCATCACGATGATAGTGAAGCCTGCCAGGGCCGAGCCAGTGAGGGTGCGGGTGATGGCAAACATGAGGTAGCTGACCGAAGCTGCAGACGCCAGGCCCAGCACTAGGGTACTCACATAGGCCACGAGCAGCAGGCGGCGGCGCCCAAATCTGCAAAGGGGTCGTGGAGGGTCAGCTCCCCGTGGACATCTAGTGGGAGGGTGTCCCCCAGCCTCTCCGTTACTGGCCCCACGCCTCACCCCACCTGTCGGACAGGTATCCGAAGGCCACGGCCCCCACCAGCACACCAGCAAAGAAGAAGGTGGACGTAGCTTTGTTCAGGCCCTTCTTCTCACACACCAGGTCCCACTGCAAGGACAGGCAGGAAGGAACCGATTTGGGGCACCAGCCCCTCCTCTCCAGACCCTGCAGCACAGCTCTTCCTGCATGTCCTTTGTCCTGTGAGGCCTCAGGGCAGCCTTGCCCTCTGGCACCTCCATGTAGATAATAAACCCCTAGCTCTTCGCCCCAGCTGGGGAGTGGGAGGCTTTGCCCCTCCCCAGTACCGCACCCTCAGCTTCTTCCCAAGGAGGGCTTTAACCATGACCGTCGGATCCTGCTGCCCACTGGGGCACAGCCTTCACCTCCAGGAGAATTACGCAGATCCCAGACTCTTCTGCATCTCGCATCTCGCGCTGCAGAACCACCCTCCTCAGCTCTCCGGCTCAGCTCTGCCAGCCCTTCCCTGCCCTGATCAGTGGCAATAATAGCAGCTCCTGTGTGGGGGCCCCTCAGTACGAGCTGGGAGCTGACCTCGGTGCTCGGAGTCACAGAGCTCCAGCTACAGAGGGGCAAGCTGAGGCTGTAAGAAGTAAAGAAATGCGTCTACTGCCTACACAGTTACCTCCCGAGGCAGTGGCAAGCCCGCCCCACTCACACGTCCCTCAGCCTCTGGGCCAGGTACCTCAGTCGCAATGGTGGAGGAGAACTCCGAGCGGTCGTACTCCCAGCCCTGAGAGCAGGACACTGTGGAGGGCTCGCCCTCTGGCTTCTCAGGACTCTGCCCCTCTCCCCCCAACGTGGTGTTGAGAAGAGCCTGGGGGCGGGCAAAGCGTAGGCAGGAGCTGAGAGTTCCGTCAGGCTCCCGGGGCAGGTGGGCCTCGAGCCATACATCCTGGTAGCTGAAGTTGGCAGGGGTGCCAGGCAGGGCACAGCGGTGAGCAGGTACTGCAGCCAGGAAGATAGGCAGGAGGAAGTGCAGGGGGAGCAGCAGGCGGGGCAGGGCCAGCAGGGCCACATTCCGCAGTTGGAAGGGCCCGAAGCCGCCTACCTGGTCCAGCAGTTCCTCAAAGCCCATGCTATCCACCCACCAGCTGGCCCAGTGCAGCCTCCCGCTGTAGTACCCAGCACAGCGCGGCCTGGCCACCACATGGACCCTTGGACTCTGGAGGTGGGAGTGGATGCACTGGGGAGTGGAAAGCCTGCAGCCAGAATCCAGCCCTTAAGGGCTGGCCCAGGGCCGAACCCTCCCCAGCCACCCAGGTCTCCAGGGACCCCTTCCTGTCTGGGTCAGTGCCTGGGGGGGGAGGGGCTTCACTTGTTAAGAGGTCACTGCTTCTGTGGCGTGGGTATCACCCACTGATTCTTAGAGACAGAGTAGGGGAGCCTGGGGCCCCTGCGATGTGGTGCCTGGGTACGCAGGAGATGAGCCCCCTGGTCAGCAGAGTGCTGAGGGTCCTTAAGAAGGGGCAGTCCCTGCAGCACAGTGCCAGCTCTTCCGGGATGTCCTTTGTCCTGTGAGGCCTCAGGTCAGCCTTGCCTATTTGCGGCTGTGATCACAGCCTGGCCAGCAGCCCAGAATTCAGGACTGAAGCCTGGGCCCTAACCAGGTGAAGGGTTATTTCTGCCAAGCCACACAGCCTCCTCACACCTCTAGCCCTCGTTTGAAGCTGGTGCCCTGGACTGACACACCTGGAATCACGGCGGGCTCCCTGACCTCTCTGAGAAGCTCAGACACACCGCACTCCCATTTCATTCAGGGGCTCTCTCCATAATTTGGGTCCTCCTGCCCACCCTTTAACACTGTTTTCAAGAGCTTCCCAGATTACCCCATGGACGGGGGAAAAGAGAGAGTTTGCCACAGTCCTACCATCAGTAACTGCGTGCCTGAAACCCAGATTTCCTCATCTGGGCCTCCACTAAATTCTCATCCAGGGTCCCTGCAGCCAAAGCCTGGCAGAAACCAGCAACAGTCCATTTATTCTGATCTGAGTATCCGAACACGAAGCTGGCAGAGCTGCGAGACTGTCAAAGTGTGTTCCAAGGAGCTCCACATTTCTAAAAGGTAAGCTTCTAAAAGTGTTCTTTGAGAAGAGGCCTAGGTTAAAAAAAAAAAAAAAAGATTGAAAACTATTCATTTTATCCAGCTCCCACTTTGAACACATAGAGACCAAAGGCTGGACAGGGCCTGTTGGGGTCACAGTGACTCAGCAGCAGAGCTGAGACCAGGACTCCTGATTCCAGCTCAGGAATCTCACCTCTGACCCAAGGACCTCAGTCTTCTCCAGACTGGGCTCCCTAAACAAGCACCTGAGCTGGAGACGCCTCAGTCTTCTCAAGACTGGGCTCCCTAAAAAAAAGAAAGAAGCTAAACAGATGCCATGGTGTGTTAATAGCCGCGCTTACGCTTACGGGAATGGGAGTGAAGACAGCCATGGGAGACGAGAGGCAGATGATGGTGGTGGTGGGTGACAGGAGGGACATTTGTTCAGTCTCTAGTGTAGCCTCAGCCTTCTCTGTAAGGTACAAAGATGCCCCAAACACAGTACCTGCTCTTCGGGAGTTTACAGGAGGGCTAAAATAAATTACACGAACCTCCCTGTCATCTGCCATACCCCTTTCGACTCATTTTCCACATGCCAACTGCAATGAACATTGTAAACAACAATCTGAGAGGGTCACATCTCATTTTAAATCCTTCATGCTCCCACTGCTAAGCATAAAAGTCCAGCTCAGCTGGTCCCATGTAACCCCCCAGAGCCAGCTTCTCTCTATTCTTGATCTCCTCCTCGAATTTACCCCCTTTCTTCCAATTCTCCAAACACGCCACCCCCACAGCGCTTCGCCCTGTGGTGCGGTCCTTGGGAGTGCTGACCTCCTCCTTATGCACCTGGTAGTGCCCAGGCCTCCCTGAAGACCAGCTCAAGGGGAGACCCCTCCTATCCCCCTCTTTTTCTCTCACACGTGTGACCCTTCACATTGCTATTTCCTCCCTCGTTGCTTTTACTTATTTATTTATTTTTAAGAGGTTTTTGCTGTAGGGCATGTTCCCTCACCAGAAAGACAGAGAGAGACAGAGAGACAGAAAGTGAGAAATCACCCCCAGGGGGGATGGGCACACCACAATCCCTTCTCCATTCTCCTCTCAGGATCTTGGGCACGCACACACATGCCTGGCGTGAGTTTAAGCCACCGGGTCCAGGACTCGAACTGCGGTCGACTACATGGGAGTCCGATGACATAGCCATTAGGCCAACTGCTGGTTCCCCTCCCTCATTTCACAGCATATAATCATATTATCTGTTTAAAATGTCATAACATTTTGCAGCTTCTGAGGTACATTTTTTGACCACTTTGTCATCGTGACCCATCCACAGGGGGATAATCCGAGGTTTTTCCATAGCCACAGAGAACCACTGCTGAGGCCAACCTCGGGCAGAGACTGTGGTGCCTCAGTGTCACAAGGGGGTTTCTCTTCTGCTTTAACAGCACAAACAACTGATAGTCACCCAGCGGCCACCTCTCCCTCTCCACACTGGATCCTAGGAGACTCAGATCTAAATCGAGAGAGTCATTTGTCATGGTTCCTCTGGCTCCATCTGACTCCCTGACTCCACCCCATGCAGCAGCCCTTCCTCACCCAGGAGTGACGATGACAACGACCATGACATGTTGAGGCAGATGATGGAGCCTAACAGGCAAGTGTGAATGGCCGAGTCTAACCAGAGGCAGATGGGCTCTGGGTCTCCAGTTAAAATAGTTAAAAGTTGGTTTTGACTGGCTCTTTAACCATCTGTCTGCCCCCTCCACCCTAGGAATTCAAACCTGAACTTAGAGGCCAAGATAAAGACCTCCGTTTGCACCAAAGCAGGTGTGGAGGAGCCTGGCACGCTGGAAAAATCACTCCTTAATTGAAATGATTACTAGGATTCTTAGGGGATTTGTGGAACTATGAGTTTCTGGGGTAAACAGTTCCCTGTTTGAGGCTGCGTGTAATAAGGACCTCTTACACTTTGGGCCTTTTCATTTGGTGCCCCTTTCCCTTTGCGTGACCTTAGATGACGCTCAGGCTGCAGTGACCATTAACCATTGCTACGTGTAATCATTTCCTACGTTGGCGATGACGGCAATGGCAGAATGACCGCGGTGGTTAAAGATGGTGCTGGGACGGTTCGAGGGTGATAGAGGTGGTGGTGATAGGGATCATGGTGGCGGAGGCGAGGAAGGCGTGTAAACTCCCTAAGAGCATGGGTCTTGTTTCTTCTTTTAAGATTTATTTTTATTTTATTTATTATCATTATTCTTCAATTTTGACAAGAGAGAGACAGAGAGAAAGGGAGAGTGGGAAAGCAAGCCGCCAGGTTCGAGATGCGAACTGTGTTCAGCCTTGTGGGAGTCCAGCGCCACCTGCCGGCCCCGGGTCTTGTTTCTAGTTCACCTAGCTCTTCTAGACCCTGTCTGAGCAACCTTGCCCACGCCATTCACTTCTGTGCCCTGCCTTCAGAGCTCTCTTCCACCACAGGGCAGAAAAGAGAGATCCTTCTGGAAGAGAAGAAGAGCATCTGCCAGGGACTGGGCAGCCTCACCTGTGGAGCATCAGGGAGACCATGACAGCAAGCTGGGCCCTGGGAGTGAGCGTGCGTGACGGGCCTCAGGCTCCTGGGGGAGGGGCTGAGATGGCGGCAAGCCCTGACGCCACCCTCCCCTCCATCACTGCTCCTCTCCCAGCCTGATTCACAGCTGTTACCCACCACACCCAACCACATGCAGCCTCACACCTTCACGCTTTGCTCCCTCTGCCAGAAATGTCCTCTCCTCATCAGCAGGCCCGTGTCTATTTGTCTTTCAAACTTTAGTCCAAAAGTCACCTCCATCTGGGGGCCTTTCCCGAAACGCTCAGTGGGGAGCTCTTCATCACCACATGTGAAGTGGAAGTTAATTTCCAACCACCTTTTGGAGGGCACTTGTCTCAGTGCCTGGACGGTGCCTGAGGCCTGGCATAGCCCTGGTAGGCGCGGGGTTCGACAATGGGTCGAATGGATAAATGGTTGACTGAATGCTAAATAATGGGTGACTAATCTGTGGCATTCTTTCACTCACTCAAGCTCAGCAATAATCAAAGAGATTTAAAAATGAAATAAGGTGCCATTTCTCACAGACTAAAATTCAGAAAGATACAATTGAATGATTTGAAAGATTTCTCCCAGAATTAGACTCACGGAAGCAAAGGCTGCAGGCATGCTATGCCTTTTAGCACTAATGTAAAGTGGAAAGTTGGAAAGGGTTTAACGAAGAATCAGTACGGAGCTGACGAACTGGATTACAGAGCACTCATGCCATGCACTGTTGGGGGCCATTGAAAGGAATACAGGATCCTCATCATTGCTGCTGTTGGGAATGCAAAATTTGGAAAAGTGCGATAATTCCTCAAAATGGTTAACATATGACCCAGCGATTCCATTCCAAGGTGTTGGCCCACGAGGAAGGAAACCATACATCCATACAAAAACTCAGAACAGAGGTTCACGGCAGCATGAATTGTAACAGGCTGAAGTGACAAGAACTCAAAGTCTACCAGCCAGTGAACGGATAAGCACAATGTGGAACAATAGCCGTATCACAGAGTATGATTTGGCAATAAAGTAAAATTTGGAAGTACCTCCAGAACAGGAGCCCACAGGTGGTGTGGTGGTTAAGGCACCGGACTCCCACGTGGTCAACCACAGTTGGGGTCCCAGGCTCAGCAGCTTGAAGATCACACCAGGTATGTGTGTGTGTTCATCCCCAAAACCCCGGGAGGAGAAGAGAGGAGAAGGGATTGCGGTGTGGCCATCCCCCCAGGAGGTTATTTTTCACTTTCCCTCTCACTGTCTCTCTCTGGCGAGCATAAGCGCCTGATAGCAAAAACCTAAACAAAACAAAACAAAACAAAACAATAACCTCAGTGTGCTAATTGAAAGAAGGCTGTCACAAAAGGATTGTATGTTATGTCATTTTACAAACATAAAAATCCAAGATAGAAAGTAGATTAGTGGTTGCCCAGGGCTGGAGGGGTTGAGGCAAATAGGAGTGACTGCTAATGGGCACTACGTATGAGGGGGCGCTGGAGGAGATATTCTAAATGGATGGTGACGGTCGCCCAGCTCTATAAACACACGGAAAGCCATCAAGCTGTGCAAGTTACATTGGTGAGCTGC